GCTTTTGACCAGCACTTTGTTGAACAAGCTTGTTCAACACCCTAAACCCTAAACCCTAAACCCTAAACCCTACACCCTAAACCCTAAACCCTAAACCCTAAACCCCTAAACTCTAAACCCTAAACCTAAACCCTAAACCTTACACTCCAACGAATGCCCTGAGCCGCCGATGCAAGGACTCTTTGAAGTTGGTCAGCGCCATGTGGCTCGAGACGCTTCGAGTGAAACGCTGCTGCAAAGATCGGGGCTTTTACACGGGATCTTTAAGGGTTCCTACAAGGGGATTCTAGGCTTTAGGGCTTGGGGTTTAGTTCAGGGTTTAGGCTTCAGGGTTTAGGGTTTAGGGTTCAGGGTTTAGGGTTTAGAGCGTTTAGGGGTTAGGTTTTAGGGTTCAGGGTTTAGGGCTGTCTTTGCTGAGACTTTGACGACCCTTGGCCAGCCATAACACTTGCTTTCCCGACCCTTCTATCAACTGTATGGGCAGGTCTCTAAAGTAGGGTCCCTGTTTGGGTGCTTTTATAAGGGTTTGGGGACATGAAAAGGGACCCTAATTTAGAGAACTACCCATATGGTCCGCTTAAAGGGACCCTTCTAAGCCAGCATTCCTTGCCTGTCAACCTTTCTAGAGCTGCATGGCCTGTAGACAGTACCCAGCTGTATGCCTTGCTTCAGGGACCCGTCTAAGCCTGCTTGTAAAATTCTTCTACGGCTCTATGGTTGGGGTTTAGGGTTTGGGGTTTAGGGTAAAAGAACCCTCCTAAACCTGTATAACACTTCTAGAGCTGCATGGCCTCGCGAAGAGACCCTTCTAAACCTTAATTCCCTGCTTGTGGCTGCCAGCTTATGGAATCCTTCTGAACCTGAACCCTAAGCCCTAAACCCTGAACCCTACACCCTAAACCCAAAACCCTACACCCTAAACCCTAAGAGCTACAGGATCCTCCTAAGTCTGTAGGGGTTTAGGGTTCATGGTTTAGGGTTTAGGGTTTAGGGTTGGGCCCTTTTGGGAAACATGCAAGAGCTGTGTATTGGTTGGTACAAGAGTTTCTCTACAGCTTTCAGAGATGCTTCTGTGCCCTAGTTATGTCGAGCTGTCCTTTTTGTGGCGGTTTCCTCACGCGCGAAAGAGCGTGGAAGCTACACCGCGGAAGCTACACGAAAGTGGCGCGGAAGGGGCTGTTTCTGGGAGAAAGAATTTCGGATAACACCCAAATGGGTAAAAGAGAAGATACAGAAACATATACTAATTAGTACATACATACATACATACATACATACATACATACATACATCCATGCATGCGTGCATGCATGCATGCATGCATGCATGCATGCATGCATGCTTGCAGACGACAGACAGACAGACAGACAGACAGACAGACAGACAGACAGACAGACAGACAGACAGACAGACAAACATATATATATATATGTATACACACACATATAACTATATGTAGGCAAGGACATGAGAATAGTGGGTCTTATAGTAGAGTCATAATAAGGAGCCGCATTCTGAGTTTTACGAGTTTACGGCTCGGGGTCGGATTTCAAATTCCAAATTGAATCCGAATCGTGTTTCCTACGGTTGCGTCTTGAGTCGGACACAGAAGAACAGAAACCTGTGTTGTTTGATGCATCCTTGGGAAAGCAACGCCGACACCTTGTAGGCATCGTAGGCTGCCGCCAACAGGATGTTGTTCAGCAGATACAAGGACACCACCAAGTACCTGAGCGGCGAAACCAAACACCGGCAGATGTCCCGCGACGTCCATCGCGGGCCCATCCTAATCACAAACATTCACGACGATGAGGAGCCGTGTGACCATCACCATCACATCCATAGATCTTCTGTCTGTGTTTACGTGCTGCTCGTCGCTATCATCACAAACGCAGGCAGCATGTTGCTTCGCTTTGTAAGTGCATTGTGGCTCTGCTTTTTTACTAGGATGTCACAGCGACAGTCTGGTGACGGCGTAACAGCGACAATGACATGTCCAATTTTTCCCAAGGCACAGCAGGAAGAACATGAATGTGGCACGGGTGTCTGTGTATGATGGAACCATCACATCTGGAAAGTTCGCAGTGGTGAAAAGTATCCACCTCGGCTGGGAAAGGCATCTCGACGCCGTCCGAGCTCTGTGGCGGAGTCCGCCCGTCTTCCCAATTCACAACCGCAAGAACGCACACATTTTGTACCAGCGGTACCTGCTACCACTGGTCATCGACACAACTGAAACAATCCTTGTTCAATATCCGGATCGCGACCCACAGCGTACCACGATCTCACTCTCGAATAACACCTCCCGGAACAGTGACGACTTTTTGGATCGAAAGCCATTTCGATACTTGTCAGGCTGCCAGGCCTCTACACCTCGAGACATCTGGCACGTCTATCATGACAACAAAACGGAAACCATTCCAAAACCTGGCGGAAATGTACAGTACGTCCAGTGAGGTCGGAAATTAAATCGGCCTAAATGTTTGCAGGAGAGATGAGCGCTGATGCTGAAGCCCTCAAACACTCCTGCACGTCGTGGTCCGCTTATTTAGATGACCTGTCACCCAGCCATAAACTGGTTATCCCGCGCATACGTTTGGATTCCATCAATGCGAGGAACCCAAACTGCAATCGTGCCTTCGAGGAAAAACTGGCTAGAGCCAAGCAGCAGGGACGACAAGGCTACGGGCCAGTTTCGGAAGAAATCGACGCCTTCCACGGCTTCAGGGCCAGCGATGATTGCATGGGTCGGATGGTCCAGGGTGCAGTGCATCCTATGATGCCGCACGCAAACGCATCATGAATCAGTCACTGGGTCGGTGCCGGGCTCTACCAAGCAATGCAGCTTATGCCTTCATCACTGCGAGAGAAGATGATAACGCCCATCCATGCAAAGACCAGAATGCAAGCCTGGAAAGGAGTAGGATGGTCAGGGACTCCGGTCCAACACAAAAAAATCTGTTCATGAACAAAACAAGTCTGCGGCTCTAGTTCTTTTACACGATAGAAGTTTCATTCAAGACCCAGAATCGCGAGAAACCGTGCGGATAGCCACGCCAGGCTACTTTTCAAGGAGTCAGCCCATAAGATGTTGGGGTTGTGCAGGGGTTGTGGGGGTGGAGGTTGAGAGTTTGTTTAGGAGTTTGAAGATGCAAAGAGAGAGCAGTCGGCCGGAATTCTTCCAGCTGGTGATGCACCAGCCGCAGCAAGGAGTTTTACTGTGAGGTGCTAGGCTAGACCGCTCGTCTGCCAGTTAGGGCGACATGTACTTAAAACAAGACACGGCTTGCATGTGCTGAAACGAATTTGTCTTGACATTGAGTGAACACATTCCAGGAAACGCATCTAATGAATGCCAACCTGCGCGGTGACACCGGTTGAATGAGCTGGCCCTCCATAATGGTTTTTGGCCGGGGCTTCTTCAGGACACAGGTCACGTTGGGCGGGTCCTCTGTAATGCGTATTGAATTCGACCGGAAGTTCTAGGGGCTGGGGTTCTCCTTTCTGCTAATGGTCAGTTTTATTTAAGTCTCACTTCTAGGCTCTAGCCCCCGCTAAACCGAAGCCTTTCTTCCGTGTGACCCGCTGGGTCGCACACGATTGAGGCTGTCGACTATGGCAGGCGAACACACTCCAGAATGTCCACAAAAGAATCGTGCATCCCGACCTTCCCACCTAAACCCAGCTCAACGAAGTTCGGGGACAGCGAGGTCGTGTTTAACGGGGTGGGGGATCCAAAGCCAAAATCCCGATTGCCGCACTTTTGCTCAATGAGGCGGGCGCGATCTCCAGGCTTCTCAAGGATTACCAAGGCTGGACTCGAGGCACTGGACCCAATATGTGGGCTGGCTCGTGAGCGTTGTCCGGATGGTAACTGTAAGTACTATGTCCCTCTTTCTGCTTACTGCTAGTATGCTTTGTCTTTGCTACGAAGAATCGTGTGCCGTGCGCCGTTTAATTGGCCACCACAGTGTCCGCCCAGAGCGTCCATCTGAGCCGGCTAACCTTGTTCCGTGGCATTGTTTGATGCTTCTGCCGTGCCCTCTGAACGATTTCGCTGCTATTGGTCATTCGGCTTCTATTCAGCTTTGGCGGGAACCGGCTGCCAATGTTGTCATGCGATCTTGAATCCCACCTGTGGAAGGCAGACTTATGAGAACAAGCTCGATATTGTTGCTATCAGCGCTAAGTCTTACTAGTAGCATAACTATCAATGATGCTGCATTCTTGCACAAAGGTCTTTCACGGTTCCACGTAAACCCGTCGGGCAGTTGATTCTCTGCCAGACTACCAACAGCCTAAATATTGTTTCTGTTTTTTGACATGGTGGTGCTGATTGAAAGCTCTCATGGGCATGCTCAAAGTCGAAGGGATTGCTTGCGATGCAAAGGGTGCAGTGGCGGTGACGATCAAGCAAAAACCAGTGCCAAGATTCTCCATAGCTAGTGCCTTCTGCATGCCCCACATAAATCACTCAGCCTGTCCCGGCTGTGGGTCCAGACCTGCCTGGGCGTGAGGTGTGACGAAACACACTTTGTCTTCCGTCTCCGATCTCGCAGCGGCGCAAAACACTCTCTTTCAATCATCAAAGCCGAAAGCATGGATCTTGACTCTGTGTCGCGTGATGCTTCTGGAGCTCTACCTCTCCGTTATCATGTCAAATTCACGGAGCCTGCGGAAGGACAACATTGGATTCTATCCTAGGGGCCAGCTTTTCCGGCATAATGCGCTCAGAACTGTACGAACTGGCAGGCAGCTAGTCGTCCTCATCCACCTTTCCAGCAGGGAGTGTCCATGGGAGGCCTTTGTCACATGTGCCAGCCCGAAACTAAAGGTCCTCAATACTTCAGGGACTCGAAACAAACTCAGCCTCATAGTCGGACGTCGGACAACTCTCAAATGGGGCAAGATCCTCTTTCAACCCAGGGCTCCCTACCTCTGAAAAGACTGCACAACGATTGATCCTGCAATGCCATTCACCACTCCGATGCTATGAGGGCCTTCTTTGTCATCAGAGCTTTCATGGCATCCTCGTCCAAATCAGGCATTGCCTCCTGGTCGCTGCCGGCCTGTCAAAGCCGGATTTTGATGTTTCGAAGCTGTTGGTCCGGTTTGTTTGCGGCTGCTGAACCGCGGTACAAGTAGGGGCTAAAAAAGTTCAGAGGGGGGTCTGGGGTAAGAGGGCAGGGATCCGGCGACCATAGAAGTACAAAACTTCCAAACATACGAGATAAGAAGGTACAGACAAGAAGGTAGAATACGAAGTTGGTTAGGACGCTGGATTAGGCCTGTTGCTTGCAAGGCTTAGTGCGATTCAAGACTTGAAGCCTTATTGGGGAATTTCGAATCTCCTGAACCCCAGTCAATTGCAACTTCCCGACATTCAAGACTTCACATTGGAGCAGAGGTGCCTTTGTCACAAGGAGTGGTGCCGCGAGTCGTTAGCTGGGAAAAACATCCACGAGTGAAAGATAAGACTCGTGATGCTAAGGGTCGCTGGGTCTGCCAGAGCTCTCTGGAAAGTGCGCAGTCGGTCAATCCGGAGAAAGCGAAAGCCTCCCTAGGCTCGCTAGACATACACTGACCCCCTCAACGCCTCAAGCCCTGAACCCTCAAAATTCTCCTAAGCCTATAAAGTGCCTTCAACATAACGGCAAGCCTCCTCGTCTTCGGAGTCCTCCTCGTCACTCGACTCCTCGGCATGCTTCTCCTCACAGGTTAGACATTCCGACTCCTCGGGGTTCGTTGCTTCAAGAAGGGCTCTATTCGGTTTTGAGACTTGGGGTTTAGGGTTTAGGGCTCCCTTGGGGCTTTGAGGCTTTGAGGTTTGCTGTTGAGCCGAGGGCTTTGAAGGCAAGGACAGCTGGCTGAGGAGGTACCACTACACTAGACCCTAGCGGCCCTAGCGTCGCTTCTTCTAACAGCGGCAGGGGCATTGGTATGACAAGTCATACGACACCTCCGGGCTATCCCGGAGTCAAGGAGAACATGCCGGCATCGTGGTGGCCGAAGCAATGTTGCCCATGCTTTCTCTTGTGCTTAGGATTCATCGCCCCAGCCTGAAAGAGCTCGGGTGGTTCTGCATGTTCTGCTTCAACAAAGCGGAAGTCAAACACGGCGTTCTAAAAAATATGTCTACAGCTAAGTGCCAGCGGCTCCTTCGTGCATGACTGTCTTAGGCTAGTCGGTCATGACACAACGGGCCAGGAACATGTCCTTGATAGTGCAATAACTGAACAATGCACACTCCCAACCTGACGCCACCAAGACAGCAGGACCTTCACTGCACGAGATTGGAGATTGGAATCCTTTTTCACAGTGGTCTCCTCCTGGCCAGTGACCTCCGGCTTGAGCACGGTCAGGTACTCGCCCTTCTTCTCTTCGATGGAGGTTTTAATCCTAGAGGCAAGGACGCTTGCAGGCTTGTTGAACCTTGGTGCACCTCTTGGCAAAGGAAATTGCGGCGTGGGCCGAAGTTAAAGATGTCCAGTGCTAAGGCAACTGTGGCTGGACCGGCTCCTCTCCATAGCGTCCTCAAGAACTGCCATGCCGGTCGGCTTATCCCTGCATATGCCTCAGTGGAGTGGGCGCATGTAGCAACGCCTAAGCAAACGGCCAGGATGCAAGAACGAGTAAGACCAGCAAGCACCTCTGACGGATGCGATCCCACATTCAAAAGCCACAGGGCCTACACGACTTCCATCAAGCTGCAAGTCAGCACGAAGAGTGGATGGGCTACCAAGTTGATCTTCACCTCGCACCAGGTGGAGACTGTCAGCCGTGCAATACCGTGCATGCAAGAAATCTTTGTGGACTTGTCGGCTCACTTCAGACTATGTGGCGTCTCTTCAACCGCCGGCAAACGAACAGCAATCATGCTCCATCGAGCATCCATCAAGACCATCCACAGGACAAGCGTGACTTGTCACGGCCGAGTCATTGGAATCATAAGCCTCCTCTAAACTCACAAGTCCGACAAAAGCGCGAGCCCTTGCCAACGACGAGCACCTCCCTGAAATCATCGGCCGCGAACGCCCCAACAAAGGAAAGAACCCGCTGCAGACTGCCTCGCACTCCTCCGTGCTAGCCTTGAAGCCCTCGGCCAAGGCATCCTGCAAATATAGATCTTCCGGGTTCGACGCTCACTCTCGGGGACCAGGCGAGGCATCCGGGTTCAGGGAATCAGTTGTGTACCTTTTGCATTCCAGGTCGAGCCTGTTTACGACATTCGGGGGTCGAGGACGCGGGCTCAGGACTGACGGTAAAGAAGTCATGTCTGAGTTCGTGTCGTAAGGTTTTGGGATGCATGGACGGCCTACCATAACACGGTTCGGCAATTGGACGGCAACCTAGAATCCAAGGCAGTGTGCCAGAACATGTCCAAAGTGCTGAGATGTGTCGAAACCCCGGCATAAAGTGCAAACCTTGCAGGAGGGCTGCCTAGCCTTGACGGCATCGATGCCCTCGTATTTGTCGCAGGAGACCTGCACCGGTTGGTGGTATGTAGCTGAAAAAAGGTGGCCGAATTAACGGAAGATACGCCGAGTCAAACAAGAGTACTCGAGGGACGAAATGCCTTGAGGGCATGATAGAAGTCTGTGCTCGTCAGCCCCATGTACACCGGAGCCTGAAACCGCGAACCTGCTGAGGGCAGGTGGTCTTCTTGCAAAAGGAACATACATCTCGGCCCTGCCAACAGCGTCAAGCGGCGTTCGAAGTGGTCTTCTATCACGCAACACTTCGAGTACTGGGTATCACTACCCTAACCCCCTAAACATGCGTGCTCCCAAATCCCAGCGCCTCAATCTTGGCTCGGAGTCGGATCGTTGCTTGGATCAACCTTCTCTTGAGGTTGGTCTCGATATCCTCCTGGGACAGGGCTCGGGTTACCCCAAGCCACAGGAAGAAAGCATCTTCACAAAGCCGGTTGGCATGGTAAGGAGGCCGTCAGACTTTGTACAACTAGGGTCTACAAGTCCAGTCTAGGTGGGTCTTGCGACAGCTGGAGAGCGGTCCTTGATCTTGTCCGCCAGGTGTGTGAGGTCCATACCTGGTTGGCTGAAGTCGATCTCCGACCAAAGGTCGATCTCCTGATTGATGTGCCTCGGGCGGCAGAGAGAACATCTCTGACGTCGTACTGGGCCATACAGGTATCTGATACTGGTGTTGTATAGTTGAAAGAAGACATCATATGATAAGCTCCCATGTGCTTCTGTGAACTACTGGTAGAGTGTTTAGCATGGAACTCGACAACTCGCAGTAAAGCCCATGTCCTGACCTTGGAGAACCCGGAGAGAACATCAGCCCTTCCCTTGCTATCATATCTTCCACCGACTTCGTAGCCTTCAGACCTTCAAAACATCTTACTGCAAGCTTCAGAGAGGCAGGCAAGGAGCTTCTTGTAAGCCTCGAAAGCATTGTTGTACTTCTTGTAAAGTGGCCAGGAGGCCTTGCAGCACAGCTCGTTCACCGGGATCTGGTGCGTCTGCGCTACGTGCCTCTCCAATGGCTGGGATTCTGGCAGGCTGTAAGGAAGCCCAATGCCCTCGACCCAAGCCCAACATGCTTACCTCGAAAAACACTCTCTCAGGCAGGAGTCTGATTAAGAAAATCTAGTTCTTACAGGGCTCCTGATATGGATCCTACGTAGTACTTCGGGGCTACTCCTGCCTCTCTGAACCAGGTTCCTAGATTGACGTGGTGGCCTCATGATGCCATGCACAGCCTTGGCTTTGGCGAAGGACTCTTCCTTGGCCGTGGCATCCTCGGGCTCCACTCGCCGCTTTGACAAGTCCACGTAGCCCTTCTCCTGGTCTACGCGCAGGACCATGCAGATTTCGGTTTTCCCAACCTTCACGAGCTTTGCTAAGGATCGAATCCGCCTCTTGGAAAGCTCGCTGTTCAGGAGCATGCCCTCATGATTGTCATACTCGAGCAGGGAGACATATGAGCCCATGTCAACGATGCGCTTCACCTGCACGACCACAATCTCCTCCAGCTCGGGAAACTCAGCCTCGTAGTATCGCCCTTCTGCACTCGCCATGGCTCCGGGGTCGACCAAAATCCCTCGAGCAAGGCCTATGTCTACGCGCGCGTCCTGGGAGCCCGCAAAATAATTTGTGCGACATCATAGGTGCTTGCTTCACGGAAGCTGGCACCTTGCAGGAGCCAGCAGTTAAATGCCCCACCCCAAAAAAGGAATGCTACCGGTGCCAAATTGGCATGTGTTACTGCTGTTGCTCTACCGTCGAGTCGTAGCCTAACCAAGATCGATTGCACATGCACGCTGTCGATGCTACGGTCAATGTTTTTGGCACGAGTAGCTGCCAGTGCCGCCAGGACCTCCCAGAAATCCAGAAACGAGAGCCATAGTCGGCTGATAGTGGAGCGGACCGTCTTCCGGCTGGAGATATAGATCCTGGGACGGCTCAGCTAGGCTCGCTGTTGCTTCTGTCTTCGGGCCGGGCCCACTGAAAGACCTCCAAGCCTGGCAACCCAAACCTAATCCGTTTCTCGTTCAGCTGTGCCAGCTGACGTTGGGAAAGGCTTTTCTGACCATGGCCAAGCAACAGTGGACGACAAAGTCCTTAGACATGGAGCCACAAGCATTTAGCCAATTGAAGCAAAGCCCTCTTCGATCAGCTTTCAAGACCGGCTTTCGGCAAGAAAATGGACAGCTTGGAATCAAATGCTCGTGGATGATGCATAGATAGTCTGATGGAGAGGGATGCCGTCATGACGCCGGGACGGTGGCCACGCGGGTAATGCTGATGGTAGCGATGACTCGTTTCACTGCGGACTACCTGTCGATTTCAGTGATGCTGATGACGAGGATGGTTCTGGATTTTGATGGCCAAGCCTATGTGCCCTTGAGGCAGGCCCCACCCTAAGCCCTAGATCTCAAACCCTGAAACCAAGAACCAAAAGCAACTGTAGCTCAGAATCTGCTCAGCCGAAAGGTGCCAGGGACGAGGCCATCCCGTCGGAACCTTGGGGTTACAAGTTCTGTCATTTATTCGATGACATACGAAACGTACTCAAGCGGCCTGTAGAAGTAGAGAATGCAGAGCATGGTCTAGAGTAAGCAGCTCAAATCATATCACGCAGAGATGGTAGATCGTTGATACCGGTAGTATGAGAAACATGATATAGTAAATAGTAATATCAACAATTGTGCTGACAAGACCATGTGATGCAACATTAATCGCAGCTCAGAAGATGCACCGAACTAGAACCGAGTATCTGATATGCTACGCTACAACGCACTACAATTTCAATACATTCTAGCATGGTCACTTGTACTACAATACACTAAAGCATGGTATGCCCATCTGTTTTTACAATACTGTACCAGACTGAACTCTGAACCATGCTATACTACACTATACTCTGCTACACGGCTCTGCTAAAGCCATAATACAGAACATGAACTATAAATCACTACAGTAAAAAAGCACACAACATGACATACCTAGCATAACATATTATGCTCTGGTAGAACGTAGTAATGAAGTTTCCTTGGATCTTGTCAGAGCTACGACTGTCTAAGTTCTTTGTGTACCGTCCTGTGCGCCAACGCAGTTTTCGGCTGCATGCTCTCACAAGGATCATACACACGGATTTGTCGGGTTTCGCAGACTGCTACGCCAAGTGTCGCCAACTCCTGCGGAGAGAGAGAGAGAGAGAGTGTGTGTGTGTGTGCGCGATTTAATTTATGTGCATGCGAATGGATCTGTCCATACTGTGTGTGGGTGTGTCAACATGCACCTGCACATGTACATGCGTTTCTGGCGGCATATACAGATATATATATATAGACAGATACACACACATACACATACACATACACATACGCATACACATACACATACGCATACGCATACGCATACACACACACAATCACACACACATATACATACATACATACATACATACATACATGCATACATACCTACATACCTACATAATTTCATACCTACACACATACATTACATTACATTCCATTCCATTGCATTGCATTACATTACATTAGATTACATTACGTACATACGTACATACATACCTACATACTTACATACCTACATACCTACATACAAACATGACTGCATGTTGCCAATATGCGCGCATATGTTTGTGTGTGTGTGTATATTTGCTTGCGTGAGTGCGTGCGCGTGCGTGCGTGCGCGCGCGCGCGTGTGTGTGTGTGTTTGTGTGTGTGTGTGTTTTTGTTTGTGTGTGTGGGTGTGCGTGCCCGCATGCACGTCAAACATCCTGTGCATCGGGGGCATGATAGGACGGCATGGTTGCTGCTTGGCTTCTGCAGCCGCTGTCGACGTCATACAATTCGTGATATTTTGCACGCGAGGATTGATGAAAGTGCCCACTATTGAATCCGAGCAGGGTGCTTCAAACCTGTAGGAGCTGATATGAGAAATTGGATGGCCGTTTCTTATCTGGCTGCTAGTAGCTGCCGGTCTCGGGGACCGGTCCGGGGAGTAAGTAGGGCGGCGCCACAAGGTTGGCAGTATGTTAACCGGAAATAAGAATCGTTGCGATTGCCATGCTGACGCGCTCGGGGTTTTCATGCGGGAGAGGGTTTAGGCTTCACGAATGCTCGGGGTCGGCCAATAGTCCATCCAACCTGTCGGCTTCTACGGAGGTCCTGCTGCATCAACGGAAGGTATCTGTTGGAGGTGATGCCGCAGACGGCCATGGAACATTGATGGGGTTGAACAGCCAACATCGACTAAGCAGATGAAGCTGAACTTGCATGCCGCCCCCTTTACCCTCCTGACCCCCTGGTTTTTGCTACTGGTGCATGTGCACAGCCTAGAATCAAAAGCCATCAGGCACTCAAGGTGCATCGGACAGGGTCGAAGGTTGTCATTCAGGAGATTCGCTAGCATAACGAGGCCTCTAATTATGCCATTGAGCCACGGATGTTAGACAGTGTGTGGCAGTGTGTGGGTTTATCTGAGGAACATGGCCGCGATGCAGTCTGCAATGGCGATGCTCACGAGTACCTGCCGAGGCGATGGGCTTTAGATCTATATACTTTGCACTCAGATCACCGCAGATCATTGTGCAGGGTACGCCTTCCGCACCAGATGCCACCATCTGCGAAAGGGGCCATCTCCTGTGAAGAACGGTAAAGCCGTCCACTAGTCTTGCAGCCTCTAGCCTTTGAGCGAGCTAACTGCAGAAGATCCCGGCCCTGTGAGTTTCCTTGCGACATCTTGTAACTGTTTCTGCGACATCCGCGTGCTTCAGGGTCTAAGGACCAGTTTCGAATGCAATGCCAGCCTGAGACGTCTTCGGTTGACAACGCCAGCAAGAAACGTCGAGCTGTTGACTACACCGCATAAAGACGTGCTTACAAACCACCTCCGACATTGCAGCATGTAAAGAAAAGCATGTAGACGACACGCTTGAAAGCATTTGTGTTACACCACGTTACAATATATACTGTTACACTACACTACACTGCTTTGCATGACATTCCCTTCCGTTTCATTCCACGCCATTGCCACAGCCCAACATTCCCTGCCGTGAAGTACATAACCACTACCATTGTTAGATTTGCAGGTGGATGTGTGTACTTAAATTCATGGACCTCTGTGTGTATGTATGTACAAACAGGAACATGTTGTATGGGCATGTCTGGGCATGTACGTACAAATGCACGGCGACGTCCAGCTGTGCTCCGTGGGCCTGACTGGCTGCGCATCCAGAACGCCATCACCAAGTAACACAGGCAGAGCAGTTCGATGCTGTTCGATACCTGGCGCAGTGAAGTGCGAGTGTGTTGAGGGAAGAGCTTGTGGGCAGGATTCCATGCACACAACTTCATGGAAACAGCTGCGGAAGTGCTGCGAGTTGGACCACCACACATGAACATCGACAACTGGTCCTGGCATGCATGCATTTTGTTCTAGGAATACGCATGTGCAGCTGAGACCCCTGCGTGCTTTGGCAAGATGTGCAGGTTCCAGCTGTAGAGCCCAGGCTTGTCAAGACCTGCCAAAGACCGCGGCTTGGACTTCGACCTTTCCCACTTGGAGGAAAGTGTATACGGTCTTCATGCTCCCGCAGGCATGCGTGCGGCCGAGGTGCACACGCCATCCTCAGCATCAGAACTCTCTGCCAAGCACCACGAGGGCTCCTGAACCCAGCGGCTTCTCCCCGACAAAGAAACCGAGACTTCGAAGGCCCTTGCTGATGTGGTGGACCCTTTCAAGTCACGACTTTGCTTCGCGCTTGAGCTCGTAATAGCAGATATAGCAGATTCCCTGCGAATGAGGGTGCCGTAAATCGGAGACATGATGTTCCATGTAGCGGTCCCTGCATTTCTGGAACCCGAAAGGATCCGCAAACACCAGCTAGCAGTCCTCAAAGATGGCTAGCAACAAGTAGATATGCTTCACAGCCAGAGTGAGAGGCCGAAGCTTCCTGGAAATATGCACGTGCACATTGTCTCTCTGTGTGTGGGTGGGTGTGGGGCATGTTGTCTCTCTATACCAACATCGGCATCTGACATGAAGGAAACATATATGGAAGCTGCGGAGGTATCAATAGTGTGTGACTGACGGTGTGACGGTGTTCGAATCGCACCGATTCCGACATGTACTAGTCTGACACAAGAGGGAGCTGGAACAGGACGGTGGAAGCATCCGAGCATGCTAATTACAAGTAGTACCAAGGGCACTGGACATACTAACACTGGCCTGGCACATGGCATAGTCAAACCGAAATGAACCATGTTTCACCACGCAGCAACAGAATAACAGGATACATGCAACCAGCAGCCTCCGCAGCATGTAGTACTGCAGCTGGCGACGCGAACAGCAATCGAGCCACTTGTCACTCCCTTTCGTCGCCTGGTCGCGACGGAGACTTTCGAGAACCTAAACTAGCCTTGACTGTGTTCACTGTTCCAGCAAGAAGTGCTTGCAATCAACAGCCATCAGCTGGGACTCTCTCGTCACGATAAGACTCCGAAACCGAACAAATCGACAGCCACACCCTGTGACATCTATGTAGTCT